TATTATTTTAGCCATTCTAATGGTTGTACATTGGCATGTCATTGTGGTATTATTTTACATTCCTCTAATGACCAATGATGTTGAGGATCTTTTTATATGCTTCTTTGAAATCCATATATTTTCTGATGAAGTGTATGTGCAAATCTCTTGCCTGTTTATTTGATTTTTTTTTTTTTTTTTTTTGCACGGTAAAAGAGTTCTTTACCTATTCTAGATACTAGCTTTTATAAATATGTATTAGCAAATATTTTCTTCCGGTGTGTGGCTTTTCTTTTCATTTTCATTTTCTTTTTTTTTTTTTTTCCCCTTTTTGTCTTTTTTCGTGTCCGGCAACGGACCGCAACCCTCAGTGTCGTGCCCGTACCGGACCGGGACCGGCAACGGGATCGCAACCCTCAGTGCTGCGCCCGCCCCTCACTCAGCCAGTGAGCGGGAACCGGTCTGTATGTGGGATCCGAACCCTCGGCGGAAGCGCCGCCGCGCTCCCAAGCGGCGCACTGTAGCAGTGCGCCACCGGGCCGGCCCTTCTTTTCATTTTCTTGACAGCATCATTTTAAATACAGACGCTTTAATTCTGGTAAAACCCAATTTATCTTTTTTATTATTATTATTTTATGGAGTGTACCTTTAGTGTTATATCTAAGAAATCTAGGCCCAATTCAAGCTCACTAAGATTTTCTTAGAGGAATTTTACAGTTTGTGGTTTTACATTTGTCTATGATCAATCTTAAGTTAATTTTTGTATCTATATCTACTTTGAAGTATGAGTTGAGATTTTTTTTCTTTTCTTTTTTTCAAATGGATTCTAATTGTTCCAGCACTGTTTCTTGAAAAGGACTATCCTTCCACCATTGAGTTGACTTGACAGTTTTGTCAAAAATTCACCAGCCATGTATATGTAGGCCTATTTCTGGGCTCTTCATTAAATTCCATTAATCTACTTGTTTATTTTGATGTCAATACCACAAAGCTTTGAATATTGTAGTCTTAAAATCAGGTAGTACACATCTCAAACTTTATTTTTCAAGATATGTTAGCTAGTCTAGTTTCTTTGCTTTTCTATATACATTTTAGGATAAGCTTGCCAATTTCCACCAAAAAAAAAAACCTGCTGTGTTTTGATCACTGTTATCTTCAATCTACATATCAATTTTAGAAAAATTAATATCTTAATATCAAGTCTTCCAATCCATGAGTATATCCTTTTATTTAGCTCTTTAATTGTTTCTCATTAGTGTTTTGTAATTCTGTTATATTTACACTGAAGTATTTCATATTGTTGGTGCTACTGTAAAAGGCACTTTTAACATTTTGATTTATAATTTTTCACTATTAGCATTTAGTAATAATATCTACTTTTGTATATTGACCTTGTATTCTGTGACCTTGCTAAACTCACTTATTCTGTTTTTATACATTTTTAGGATTTTTTACCTAGAAAATCATGTCATCTGTAAATAGAGACATTTCATTTCTTCCTTTCTGATCTTTATGCCTTGAATTCCTTTTCCTGACTTATTACATGTGCTAGGACCATCTGTTATGTTGAATAGGATTGGTGAGAGCAAACATTCTTGCCTTGATCCTGATCTCAGAGGGAAAGTATTTAAGTTGTTGGCTATGCAACATGATATTAGCTACCAGATTTTCATAGATGCCCTTTATAACATTGAGGAAGTTCTCTTTAGTTCCTAGTTTGCTAGGCTTTTAATCATAAATAGGATGTTGAATTCTGTTACTTTTTATATATCTATTCAAAAGATTTATTTCCATATTTGTACATAAATTAATTAAGGATAAAAATATTTACTAAGTTTTGTGTCTGCAGAACAACTTTACAAGGCAGCTTTATCATTCATATCCTTTGTACTTTGGGTAAAATACCTAATGATGTTATCTATGACTTCTGAAATCAACAATAGTAACTGCAGTAACACAGAATTTCAGACCCCCCTATGTTAAAAACAAAATGAAAAGAAGGATTTGGAAAAAGATGGTATCAATTAATTAGTAGGTCCCCTTACTCATTTTTGTCCATCCCGCTTTCTCAAAGTTTCTGTCTTCTCCCCTAGATATAAAATTTCTAACACTTTTAGTTTGTCTGAGAAAACCAAAGTACTATTTTTTTGTATTCTCATCTTTCCATTTTTCTGTTTGAAGAAAATTTTAAAATCTCTTGTCTCAGTGGATGGCACTAGCAGCTTTATTCAAATCAGAAAGCTGGAGATCCTCCTCAAACCTTTAACTCTCAGCTTTCCATCTAAATCATACTGAATTACCTCCCCAGTTGATCCCCTTCTTTAAGCACCATGACAACCATTTCCTAGCCCTTATTATTGTTCCTCGTCTTACATTAAAGATTACTTCACTAGTCTTTAGGTTTCTAACTAATCTTCAGGCTTTCACTTGGATCATGAAAATTAAGCTATTTCTCTGCCTGGAATTATTCAATGCACAGTCCTGATGCCTTTAGGGTAATGTCTACACACCGTTCCTCTGTTTATAAGACCGACTATGCATGATCCTATGTCTTAAGCCACATATCTTCCCAGTGTATCTCACTTGAAAAGAAAAGAAAAAGTGCCTAGGGCATTGCACCTTAAGGAGTGCAGATTTCCCTAGAGATAAAAGGGGTATTTGTTGTTTTGCAGCCATTGCTCTTGTGACTGAGAAAGTGAAGAAGAGCCCTTCATGCAGAAAATAGTCCTATGACTTCTCGTGAGGATGAGCCTTGTATTAGTCTGTTTGTGCTGCTATAACAGAATACCTGAAACTGGGTAATTTATAAAGAACAGAGGTTTATTTGGCTTATGATTCTGGGACAGCTGCATCTGGCACGGGCCTCAGGCTGCTTCTACTCATGGTGGACAGTGGCAGGCAGCCGGCAGGTACAAGCAGATCACATGGCGAGAGGAAGCAAGAGAGAGAGAGAGAGAGAGGAGGTGACAGGGTCTTTTAAACAACCAGCTCTCAGGGGAACTAATAGAGTGAGAACTCACTCATTAATCCCCCCACCTAGGAAGAGCACTAATCCATTCATAAGGGATCTGCCCCAGTGACTCAAACTGCCACACTGGGGATCAGATTTCCATGAGTCCTGGAAGGACAATACATCCAAACTCCATCAAGCCTCTACCCCAAAATTAGATGTAAGAGGAAAGAAGGCCTATTACTCAATTACTGCCCCATTAACAAGTCAGAGATTAATTAGCAGGTCTCTAAATAAGTGAAACTATTTTTCTTATTGCTAATGTTGCTGCCCTCCTCTGGACATTCATGGTCACAATAGTTCAGTGCTCTAGTTTCTCAACCTCAGCAGCACTCTTGACAGTTTGGACCAGATAATTCTTTGTTGTGCAGAGCTATCTCATGCATTGTAAAATATTTAGCAGTATCCCCAGCCTTTCCCACTAGATACCAGTAGCATCCCTCCCCCCAGAGTTGTAACCACCAAAACTGTCTCCAGACATTGCCAAATGTTCACAAGATCACCTTGGATGGAGAATCACTTCTCTAAGTAAATGAATGTCATGTGTTAAAATGATGGCAGGAAGTCTGGGAGAAAGAGGTTCTGAGGGATAGAGTTGGCAGTGACTCAGTCAAAGCAGACCAATTCCCAAGGATTGTAATAAACGGAATAAGGAAAACAGAGGAAGTCAACCTGGGTCCCTGCAGTGTTAAGATCAGAGCAAGCACTGAAGAGTGCATGTGATGAATAGAACATTTTCTCCACAGCCATGAAAAACAGTTACACTCCCTGGTTCACCCTGAGTTTACAACCTCATCTCTTTGCATGTAATCTTTCTCTCCATATCCTGTGTCATCTTCATGTTACTGGGTAAGCTTGCTGGCAGAACAGAAATAAGAGATGATACACATCAGAGATGGTGGGTATAATGGCAGACAGTTCATTACAATGTAAACATAATTTTTTATAGGACAGTATCATCTTTGCTTTTTAACTAAGCAACTTCTGCCATGGATCTCCATAAATTCACTGAATTCTCAGATCTCTTCTGTTGAGCCTCTAGAATAAAATTTTATTTCAGGGTATGCTTTTAATGGAAACAAATATTTCTTCTATTTTCATTTTAAGTTCTCGAAACACTAAAAGCATACATAATTAATGCGTCTGTTTCTAACCTAACTGATTTCAGAGAGGTTAACAATCTGTGAATGGACACATATGCTCATTTTATTGTCTGCTGAAAACATACATATATGTTTCAATATGTGTGTGTGTATATATATGTTTTCTATACATATACATGTACATATATATAAACATGTATATATATTTTTGTGGAACTATATTTAAATTTTAAAATTATGGTTTAGAGTGTTAATACATTGAATACATAAAACAAGATGTCCTATTGGTTTAAAGTAAACATACACACACAAAAACAAACAAAAAAAATTGAGTTTAAAAGCTACAATTGTTTAATTAAGCTGACATTTGATTCCATTGATGTTCTAATTTTACCCCAGGCTTCACAGTAGGAAAATCACATGAACTCTTAACAATTTTGTACAGCATTGAGACTCTCTTACATTGATGATGGCATGTAAAAATTTAGGAGTGCTAGAACGAATCAAATTGAGATGCCCAGTGGGTTCTTTCTCTACGCATCTACGCATCTTTTTTTTTTTTTTTTTTGGACTGGTAAGGGGATTGCAACCCTTGGCACGGTGTTGTCTGCACCACGCTCAGCCAGTGAGCACACTAGCCATCCCTATAGAGGATCCAAACCCATGGCCTCAGCGCGACCAGCGCCACACTCTCCCGAGTGAGCCATGGGGCCGGCCCTCTCTATGCATCTTAACAGAGTTTGTCATCACAGCATTTATCATAGGCTTTGCACTTCATAGGGGTACTTATTTGTTGACTAAAATAATATTTCAGACCTTGCTGATGAGTTTTCACAATAGAAGTCTGATTAATTATTATGTGATAGAGACAAGATGTTTAAATGATAAAACACATTGTGACCACTTACTGTCTCCCCGGCACAGCAGAGGCCCAAGTTTATAAGCAGCTTCTGAATGTGGTCGGCCTGTGTCTGTAATCACTATCTTAGTTACTGGCAGATGCTCTTTGTAAGAAAGAAATCCAGTGTCATTGGTCCTAAAAAACAGTAGAGTAGCAATAGCAAAAATTTTTAAATTAATCTCTTTAACATAATTACAAAGTAAACAACAGTCATTACTACATTTCAGAACCAAGACGTTCTGAAATAAATTTACACACACAAAATAATAAGGATCTAATTGCTCATCCGAGCACCCAAAAATATGCTAACATTTTAATGTCTCCTGTAGACATTAAAATACAGACTATAAAACATAGCATATGTTAAAATCAGAACATGGTTGGGGATTTTTTAATTAAATGGACCACTTTCTAATTTTTAACTGGAATGGTTAATGCATTAACATTTAGTATAATGATCGATATTGTGGTTTTGGCTCTACCATTTTGATATTTTTTCTCATTTTTTCCTCAAATGATTTCTTACCCTTCTGCTCTCCCTGGGCTGCTTCCTCTCAGTTTACTTCATATTTTTTGTATTTAATCTTATTTTCTCTATTCACTTTTTAGCTATCCCTCCGTTTATTGTATTTTAATGTTTGCTTTACAGATCACAAAATGCATTCTTAATTTATTACAATCTACTTAGAGTTTACGTTGTATAACAATATAAAATGTCAGAAGCTTGCTATGGGATAATTTAATACAACCTCCCCACCTACGCACACACACATACTTGTTCTTTGTGCCATTGTCATAAAATATTTTAAATCCATGTGTTACAAACTTTATAATCAAACAGTGAATTTATTTTTTTAATTGAGAGAAGAGTTTAAGCACTGGCTTTCATATTTACCAACATATTTACAATTTCCAGTGTTCTTAATTTCTTACTGAAGATTAAGTTTTCACCTGGTGTTATTTCTCTTTAGCCTGAAGAATTTCTGTTAGATTTTTTTTTCAGATTTTGTTACTTGCTCTTGCAAAATTTACATGTTTTTTAAACATAGTTCTCATTTATCTGCTTAAAATATCTTCTGTTCACTCACTGTGATTATTTTTACTCTTAAGTCTTCAAACATGTTTACAGATTGCTTCAAAGTTTTTGCCAACTAATTCAAACATCAGTGCCCCAGATTTTATTTTAATAACTGGCTTTAATTTGATTTTAGATCAAAGTTTACCCTTTTTTTGAAATATTCAGTATCTGTTATAATATTCTGGATGTTATGAATGATACATTGTAAAGGTTCTGCATTTCGTTATTGTTCCCTCAAGCTTTTAATTTTGTTTCCACAGACAAATCACAACGTTATCATAATAAATTGTGGATGCTTGGTTTTATACAGTCATCCACCACTTGATAGGGATATACTCTGAGTGTGTTGTTAGGTAATTTCATCATTGTGCAAATACATCACACAGTGCATTTACATAAGCCTATATGGTATAACCTACCACACACCTAGGCTATACAGTATGGCCTATTGCTCCTACATGGATAATGTGTTGTGCTACGAGGTTAGGATGACTACAGTGTCGCTAGGTGATAGGAATTTTTCGGTTCTATTATAATCTTATGGTACCACTGTTGTATATTCAGTCTGTTGCTGACCAAAATGTCATTATGCGATGTGTGACTGAACTTCATTAGGATAGGCCTGTGTCAA